TGAGTTAGGAACCCGCTTTCCGTCATGGTTGGGAAGATCAGTGGCCCAAACTACAATTAAAAAGTTCGTTGGGGTAGTTGTATCCTCCCCCTCCCTGCCAAACGCTCACTTTTAAAACTCGCATCCTATACTTCTCACGTTCTCATTTCTCTTATATGCTCCCTTCATTCTGGAACTCAGCATCGATCCCACTTTCACCTAAGAAACAAAAGTTCATTTTTCATCCCGATCAACCTTCATAACTTTCCAGAAGACATCGTCGATCATCCCAAAATGTCGGATCAGAAGAATCCAAACGCAGAATCTGGAGGTGGCAGTAATGTTTCCGTTGAAGCAGCACAAGGAAGAATGAACAATCTTCCCAATTTCCTGTCATCTGTGAAGCTCAAATACGTGAAACTTGGCTACCATTACGTGATCTCCAATGCTATGTACCTTTTCCTCATACCAGTTCTTGTTTCTGCTTCGGCTCATCTATCAACTCTCTCGGTCCAAGACATAATCCAGTTATGGCAAAGCCTTAAGTTCAATCTCGTCCAAGTCACTCTGTGTTCGAGTCTTCTGGTGTTCTTAGCCACCTTTTACTTCATGAGCCGTCCACGAGGTGTTTATTTGGTGGATTTTGCGTGTTACAAGCCAGACCCAGTTCGAATGTGCACAAAGGAGTTGTTCATGGAGAGATCTAGACAAGCAGGATTCTTCACAGAGGAGAACTTGATGTTTCAGAAGAAGATTCTAGAAAGGTCTGGTTTGGGACAGAAGACTTACTTCCCACCCGCAGTTTTAAGTGTTCCACCAAACCCATGTATGGCTGAAGCGAGGAAAGAAGCAGAGGAGGTGATGTTCGGAGCCATTGATCAACTTTTGGAGAAAACTGGTGTAAGGGCTAAGGATATTGGGATCTTGGTCGTGAATTGTAGTCTGTTCAATCCGACGCCGTCTTTGTCTGCCATGATCATCAATCACTATAAGCTGAGAGGGAATATACTAAGCTATAACCTTGGTGGTATGGGATGTAGTGCCGGCCTTATCTCTATTGACCTAGCCAAACGCCTCTTGCAGGTTTGCTTTTTTCCTTTCTTCTACTTCTCTTATTGATCTAACAAGTTGATTTAGTACACCAATGGCTTCCTAGCCACTTTTTGATTCATTACTTTGTGACCCACATGAAGATACGGTTCGTTCTGATCCTCAATTTGTAGATCTGAGTCTTATATATGCTAGATTTTCGTTGGGAGAGTAGATTTTCGTTGGCAGCTGAGTTTTGTTGCTCTTAAATATAGATTCGTTTACATCAAATATTTTTTTTTAAATTAACACTTTAAATATGTGATTTTATTATGGGGAAACTCGCGAAAAAAGACATTGGAAATAGAAAAACTGAAAATAAGGATCCGTTATAATATTATTATTAGTTTTTGACAATAATTGATAAGCAAATGACAACAGTTTTTATGAATAGGTTCCTATATGTAATTTTTAAAATTTTTAAAGTCTTTTTTTGTGATTTTTTTCTTTTATTATGCCCTCTGAATCGTTTCAGAATAAGAGGAAAAACTATGTAATTTCATTTTAGGCATGCTTTTGTTTATGTTTAACTCTGGTTAATTTATTGCCTTTGACAGCAAATATTTCTGTCAATGTTTTACATTATTATGGTGCATATATAGTTATTGAAGCTCATTATTTATGTGCGTCTATATATGTATATGTGTACGTAGGTGCATCCAAATTCTTATGCTTTAGTAGTAAGCATGGAGAACATAACCCTAAACTGGTACTTCGGCAACAACCGATCCATGCTCGTCTCGAATTGCCTCTTTCGAGTGGGCGGAGCAGCGATTCTACTGTCCAACCGTTCATGTGATCGCCGGCGTTCAAAGTACCAACTTTTGCACACAGTTCGAACACACAAAGGCGCAGAGGACAAATCATACGGCTGCGTCTTCCAAGAAGAAGACGATAACAAAAACATTGGCGTCTCTCTCTCCAAAGACCTCATGGCTGTTGCAGGAGAAGCCCTCAAAGCCAACATCACAACCCTTGGCCCTCTGGTTCTTCCCATGTCGGAACAGCTTCTCTTCTTCTTCACGCTGGTGGCTAGAAAAGTTCTGAAGATGAAGGTTAAGCCCTATATTCCAGACTTCAAGCTTGCTTTTGAGCACTTCTGTATTCATGCTGGGGGAAGAGCGGTTTTGGATGAGTTGGAGAAGAACTTAGAGCTCAGTGATTGGCACATGGAGCCATCGAGAATGACACTGTACAGATTTGGGAACACTTCGAGCAGTTCATTGTGGTACGAATTGGCCTATACTGAAGCTAAAGGGAGGATCAAGAAGGGTGATAGGACATGGCAGATTGCTTTTGGGTCTGGGTTTAAGTGTAACAGTGCTGTGTGGCGTGCCTTGAGGACAGTTAATCCTGCGAAGGAGAAGAATCCTTGGATCGATGAGATTCATGAGTTTCCAGTTCATGTTCCTAAAGTGGAAACCATCGGCTCCTAAAATTTGATGTTATCCAATTATATATATATATATATATATATTATATATTGGGAAGTATAAGTAGATGATAATTGATCCTGTGGCTTTTTAATTTGCCAATGAGGTGAAGTTGGGAGAGTGTGGATAAATTTATCGCCCTACCTGAACAGTTATGGAATGATTAATTGTGGGATTGTAAAGTGAAGAACTTTGAATTGAGTTATTAATTTTAATTGGTGGCCGTGTCGTAATTAAACTTTATTTATTGACCTTTGAAAGGTTATGTAAATTCGAATGTGAATTCCAGGCGGCGTTGGAAAAAACCTTTGAACTATAGAGTAAAATATAATTTCTGAGCTATTAGATTTGATGGTTTCCATCTGGCTCTTGCGTACTCTTGTAATAAACGGAAATCTGGAATTGGGAATTTTGTGAGAATATTGGCAACGAAGTAGTGGTCGGCTATTTAGTGCATTGCAAAGTGAAAATGGGCTCTGGACACAACTTCATAGAGACCCAAAGCTTAGTCTCCTGGGGACCCATGTCTTTCTTTCAACCCCAAAACTACTTTGTCCGGCAACTTGAAAACCTCAAAAACTATAAACTTATTTGGAATAGTTTATAAGTAACTTTTAAATGTGATTTACAAAATATCGAGGTAGATATGTAAGAAAGATTTTTGTCTTGGTTTGCCTGAAAGTACTTATAAACACTTTGCAATGTTGATCCAAACAAGCCTTGTAATATAATCTTTCTCCTCCAACTTACACCATTGGGTCTTGCTCCCCATGACAGAGATGACCTGTGCATAAAGTTACTTTCAACTTCAAAGAAATATGGAAAATTTGGTTAAAAGTCATTGTTTAAAAATTTAATTAGTTAAGAGACCTAAAATTGAGCAAACGTGATTACGATATATGAGTGAAACCTTTTTTTCCGTTGTGTGTAACATATTATCAGTGATATGTAATAATTATCAATATGGAAGTCATTTGCACATAGTAAAAGAAAAGTTACACTCATAGATCATAGTTGCATGTGCTCAAATTTAAGGCTTTTTAACTAATTAAGTTTTTAAACTGAGATTTTTTACCAAATTTTCCAAAAAAATATTGAAAACCATCAATTATGTTTCAAGTTTATCCTACATATGATTTTGAATGCTGACATTGCAAGTCTGTAACAACATTTTGTGGAGGCAGGAAATACATGTGACAGCCACTTTTATCATGTTTCAATACATATGCAACAAAAAATCGCATTTCATAAGCTATAAAAAAAGTGATTTATTTCTCTTTCTCTAAGAGAAAAAATACTCAAACCGAGTCAGTCATGCAGAAGAGGAGTGGGCCAGCCATAGATGCAAAGCTTACCGGGCCAAATTCTCCCCTGCAAGATTAGCATTCTGAGGGGTTAACACAGAAAATTCATTTATTTTTGTTGCTCTTGGGCTAATCTAGCGAATTTAATGTTTAATTCTATGTTTTCTTTACCATCATGTCTAATCTAGTCTGGTTTTAACTTTGAGAAAAATACAATATTTGGCTCTTAGGCTAGTGCCTTTTTCAGGGGCAAAAACAATTTTTGGTTTTTACATATTTTTAAATTATTAATTTGATTTTTAAATTTTGTTTTGACACAACTCAATTTCTATGATACCATTTGATGCGAAGCATTAAAAATAAGTGATGGAAATTAGGGTTAAGATTGAGAAAATAGTGTTTAACATGAAAAATTGCTTATTACATAGGATTAGACAAACCCATGTATGTGAGATTGAAAAATACCACGGGAGGAAGTGGTATTCACCAATCCTACTTCAATGAATTTACCTAATCCCATATAACAAGCAATTATTCATACAAAAGATTTTTTTAATAATTGTTTTCAATTACAATCTTAATCCTTATCCTTCATTTTCGATGTTTTATACCAAACAGGACTTAAAAATCATATAATCCATCAAGTAAATAATAAACTACAAAAACTAAAAGGAAAATCCCAAAAAATGGACTTGAATTTCAAATCTTCAAATCAGGAATTACTAAAAAAATGTGTTGATATTTACTTTTTGAATGTAATTATTTTCTTTAAGAATATAGTAACCAATACTGATTTGAAATTTTAAAATTCAACAGTCTTTTTTTTTTTTAGATTTTTCCAAAACTAAACTGTAATAAGCTTTTTTTGGAAAAATTACAAATAAAAACCCCCAAATATAAAATTATGATTTGTAACTCTAAATTTGAAAAATAGCAAATAAGAACTCGATCCCATTTTTGCAAACATGAAATGTAGTTGAAATGTCTGAAATACCTTTTAGCCAAATTGTGATTTGGTCTATTGAAATTGTTGTTCGCTAAAATAAATTTAACATTTCTCATAGTCAACTTGTCATTTGGTATACCCTCAGGCAAGTTGTGATTTGGTCTACTAGAGTTGTCATGAGCAAAAGTAAACTTGTCATTTGGCTGAGGGGCATTTCAGACATTTTATCCACATTTCATATTTGCAAAAATACGACCGAGTCCTTATTTGTCATTTTTTAAATTTAGAATCCTAAATCATAATTTTACATATTCAGGAGTTTTTATTTGTAAATTTTTTTTTGAGTTAATATAATCTTTGATCCCTCAAATTTATCCTCATTTTGGTGGTTCTAATTCCTCAAATTTCAAACCATATGTTTCGATCTTTCAATGAGTAAAATGATCGAAGTTTTTATTAAATTATAAATACTAATATTCTAAATAAAAAGAAATCTAAGAGATCATATTAAAATAAGGATAAATTTAAAAACAAAGTTTGTATTAACTTTTTGTTTTTTGGTCCCAACTTGTCACAAGTTAAAGTTGAATCAATGATTTATGACCCAAAAAAAAAAGTTGAATCAATGATTAACAATAATTTAAAAATTAAACGTTACTCCATATTTTACCTTTTAATTTCTGTCCGCTGCCTCGAATCAAACCCGCAATCAAGGACATCAAACTCAACTTTTGAAACAGACGGTACATGCATATTTTTCCTACTTTCTGTTCACTTTTATTTCATTCCGTTATCATATTCATCTTTTACTTTTTAAAAAGGAAATAGACCTATCCGAATTCACCTCAAATTCCCTCTCAATTTTTTTTTCAAAAATAAAGGATTAAATAGAAAAAGAGAATGACTGTCAAAATTTTTCCTACAGTTTCTCCTTGAGAAGAGCGGCTAATCCGGTGACAACCTTTCCTCCCTTATCCACGCTCTTCGGTTTTATCGCCGGTGGTTTCCACGTCGGCGCCGGTGCCACTGCCTCTGCCTTCTCTTCACCAGAATCAGCCTCCGGCCTGTTCGCCGGTATTGCTTTGTTCCCGAAAATCAGCTCTAACTCACCGTGGTCGCTCTCTGTCGCGGAACACCCAACGTCATCATTCTTCACCCCCAGATTCTCAGAATCCGAAACGCGGCCGTTTCGCTTTGTCCGAGTGTAGGCAGAGAGCCACTTGGCTCGCATATACTCCGCCTTCCTCCACGGCGGAAGGTGCATTCCTTTCTTCTTTAGACTCTGCTTGGCCGCCTCCGACACGATCGATACTATCTGATCAAGCCGTTCCGATTTCCCGACGAAAATGTACGGCAGCAATTGAAGGATGGTCTTGTAGCTCCCTGTTGATCGTGCAATTTCGAATTCTGATCGGAAATCGATATCGACTAACAATATCTCTTCTTCTAAAATCACATCAATGAATTCATGTTCCCCTGAGAGACAAACAGAAAATTCACTTTCAATTTTATTCCTCTGTTACTTCAATTTGGAGAAATGAGATTCAAAAAGAAAAAATACCGGCTGGGTAAGATGAGGTTTTATCCCACTTAGATATACAGACAGAAGAGTCGTATCCCAGAGATGAAAGCCCATCTGCGACGATATTTCTCAAATCATATTTTGTTCTGAAGACTTTGTTGTTGTTCTCAACTATCTTCGCAGCGTCAGCTAACAGATTCCTCTCAGCAACACTTGCGCAAGGAATCAGACTCTGCAAATTATATACAACTAGTTTTTTGAAGCTCGAGGAAATTTGGCCATGCTTCGCAGAAAAACCGCAAGAAAAAGAGATTGTATGATTTGTTAGCAGCATTTACCTTGAGCGCGTCGCTGGCATCGCTGAACGAAGCAGAGGTGATTGATTCATTGAAACCGCCAAAGACATCGAGCTCGTCGTCCGAGCTGTCGTTGTTGTTGCCGTTGAAGCAATTGCAGCGATTACGGCCGCATTTAGCCGCCGGTGGTTGCTTCTCGTTTGTCTCCTCTATGAAATTCTGCACCATTTTCGCCAAGCAAAGCGAACTCGGCTCGAACTCCGATACTCCATCTCTGTTGGACAGGTGTTCACTGGGAACGTTGAGTTTCTCCGGGGAGGAATTCCTGATCACGCTCGGAGACTGCCGATCAAAGACGAAGAGCCTTCTTAGCCGCGACCTCAACACTGGCTTCGCCGAATCGTTTCTAACCGCCGCTTCCCCGAGCTTTCGGGAATCTATACCAATGGGTTGGATCTTAGTCGGAGGCATGGCTGAGAGAAGTGCAAAATTTGTGCAGTTTTACTCCATTTTCAGAATGAATCTGAATTTGCAGGGGAAAAAAAGTGTGCGTCGCAATTACAAGTGAAACCCAAATTCACATACTGTAAATCGAGTTGGCAAAATTCTTTTCTTTTCCAGAAAACTCGAGGCGTCTACTAAAACAAGAAAACTACAGTCACCATCTACCATTCCCGTGAGCAGCAGAAAATACATAAACAAAATCAAGGAATCAAGCGAAATTTCCCCCGTCCGAAATCGCAACTCATCACCCAAGCGGGAAGGAAAACTTCACGGAGACTTGGGCAGGAACGAGAAATCTGTACTTTCCCGCAGGCATGGAAGAAGCATGGAATAACTTGTAGAGTAAGCGAGAGCAGAAGAAGATGGCTTTGAGCTCAGGACTTTCAGGGGACAGTGGACGAAGGCTAATGGGTGAGAGGAGGATAACTGGCCGGAATGTGCATTTCCCCGAGGAGGAGATCAGGATGAAAAGGTAGGGCAGTTATGGAGGAAACGGGTGGGGGATTGGATTTAAAAGGGAGGTGGTTTGGATGGAGGCCGGTAGATGCGCGTAGGATATGAAGTGGAGGACATTACTTGGGGAGCGTAGCATGCTACAGTACCTACCAGAGGACAACAGTAATCAGATAAATTTATCAGCAAAAAAAGAAAAGACATTAGACATGTAATGAAATGAATTAAATAAAAATCCCAAGTGATTTTTTAAAAGATCTTTGCCCTTCTCTGGGCAAAGTGTCACAATTTTTTTCAAATGTCACACTTGTAGATGATTAAATTTTTTTAATTTATAAATAATAGTATTGGCCGTAATATAAAATTTAATTTACGCTAGTTGAAATCATTATTTGGTCCTTTCTTGTAGTTGGGAAGCGAGAGGATGGGTTTGGAATATGGAGAGGAAGATGCCCCTCGTATCCAGGAATTTCGTACACCACACAGGCGTCTCTCTGCTTTTCTAATTATTAACACCACCCCCGCCCCAAACCAAAAAAAAAAAAAAAGTAAATATATACTCTTTTGCCTGGATTCTTATTTCTTAAAAAGATTAGAATCCCCATTTTTTTTTAATTTAGTATCTATGTATTTTTTTTTCTGGTTAAACATTAATTTTGCTCTATTAGTATAATTAGTTTTTGCATAACAACTAACAGTACTAACAGAATAAAGTTACATAACAGTACTAATATACTAAAATTATAGTATTTAATTAAGAGAAAAATATATATGTGCCAAATTAAAAATTGAGGGAAATATAAATACCTGCAAAATCCCTTTCTTAAGATTTTTCTATACAAATATTATTATATCGATTTCATTTTAATCCACTAGTACCTAATTTTTATTTTTAATCATTTACGAATTACAATATGTACTATTATCCAGATATTTATATGAGCATCCATGTTTGTTCCCATAGTAAAACGAGGGGGACTGGGGACAGCCCTTTAGGTTTTTAATTTTTCACTATATGCATGTTCGGCCTCTAGAATGTCCCCTTTTTTTTTAAGTTTCGCTTCTAGTTTTTTTTTGTAGTAAGTCTAAACTAAAAATTTATTTGGAAGAAAAAAAATACTTAATCTTCATAGTTTGAAAGAATTAGATGAATTGATTTGGCTGAAGAACCACCAAAATCAATTCCCAATTTTTTTTAAAAAAAATGGCAGTTGGTATTATTACCATTCCGATTACTATCATAGCTAATGGGCTTTTGGTTTTGGTTTACTTAAGCTTTTTACACATATCTTATATTTTTTAAATAATAAGTTATTAGAATTCGTAATTTTTTATTCAAACCATAAAATTACATGTTATATATGTATTCTAAAAATACAATTGCTCATAACATACATTAGATCATTATATAAAATCAAATCAAACAATTTTGAAAAGAAACACTTAAATTTGTCAATTAAATTTACAAATCTTACTTCTCTTGTCATGTTCCTTGATATGAAACTCATAATATAGACATAGTATAAATTTGAGATGAGTTTTATTGTTTGTAACTTCTTAATGGCATATATTTTTAAATCTCTAACAACTATTACTCTCTCCAGTCTTTAATATAAAAATTGGATAACTAATTTGAAAATATTAATAAAATTAGTTAAATTAATTATTTCTAATAAATAGGTGTTGTCTTTATTAGAATACACTTGCTAATCATATGTATTAAATAAAAATACAATTTGATAGAACATTTGACATATACAATTACTACAAGAATTATTTTAAAAAAATAAATAAATATGAGAAATAAAGTGGATTAAGATTTTATGTTTAAGATCAGATTAAATGTTAGATTAGCCTTTTATATTAAACACATGAGGTTTTTTTTTTTCATTAGATACAATATGAAGTGTATTTATATATAGATAACATAATCTGGTATGAGGTTCCTATTTATTGAGAAAAAATAAAATAGGAAAAATTGAAGGTTCGAGCCACACAAGTAATATCAAAACGGAAGCTTAAAATTGCGAAATCACATTCAAAGATAGAAGGCATAGGACAACTACCAAATAAAGCAGCATAGATTAGCTTGTTTCAATTCCTTTATTATTGAAATGTAAATATCAAATTTTGCTAATCATTCCCAAATTTTGATCAAACACTAACTTATTTAGTTGATTTACCAAAATAAACATTGAACGCAAAGCAGGAGCATTTGCTAACATTAGAACATGGATACAGACATGACTTGTTATCTAATTTTTGAATTTTGACTGCACCACAAAAAATTATCTATATGACTATTTATTCACAACTGAGGAAGACAGTAATACTATTAAATTCATACAACGTTGGATTTGTCATAAGTCACAGACAGTGTAACTTGTACTATGATATCTAATATAAGAGTTAATTTGATTTTTAATTTGGTTTTAAATATAAAAACATAATCTACTTTATCTTGTATTTGTCTCTTTTTTTTTTTCAAAATAATCCTTGTAGTAGCTGCACATGTTAGACATTTAATCAAATAATAGTTTTAGCTAATATATGATTAGTAAAGGTATTTTTAAAAAGATAATACCTAATTATTACAAATAATTAACTCAACAAATTCTCTTAATATATTCAAATTATTTAATTACCTCTTATATTAAAGATCACAAGTAATACTAACTCCGATCCTAAATACTACTATAAGAATTAGTTGACTGATTTAAATAAATTAAGGAAGCAAGTTAAGTTAGTTATTTGTAATAAATATGTATTTTCTTTCATAAAATATCCCTAATAATTAAGTTTATTGGTTAAAACTACTATTACTAGAAGGACTATTTTAAAAAAAATAGATAAATACGAGAAACAAAATAGATTAGATTTTATATTTAGAATTAAAATAAAAACCAAATAATATTTTATATTAAATATCAGATATAGTATATAAATTCCTGTTCAAAAGCATGCGTGCTCAACGGAGAATATTAAATTAAATTATCAAAAGTTACAGTCATGGTCGTCCTTGATACGTTTGGCACAAATAAATGCAATGCCATATTGCCTCGTACTATATTACACCAAGTGGCTACCATCGGTTCCAAGTTTACGATAAGACTGATACTAACTTTGCTGATCTTTTTTTGTTTAAAATGAGTAGACGCTACTAAATTGGCCTAACTTCACCGTGAAGCTATGTTAAGATAAAGATGAACTCGAGTCAAATCAACCTTGAATAACGCTCCTCGCCAACATAATAAATAATAATTGAAGCTCCATTTATATGTTTGCTTTTAAATATTTGATTAATACAAAATTTGGTACTTTAAGTTTATCTTTTTCTTTGTTTGGATAGTATCCGCGTTAGGTGGTTTTCCCTTCAGTTTTTGGTCTGAAAAAAAAGTTTACCTTATTTTTTATTCTAGGCCTTGAAATTTTAAATTATAAATTTTAGTCTCACAGGTTTTTTTCATATAAAATATTAGTCATTATCATCTAATAAAAATTTAAATTATTTTGCCCGTTAAAGAATTAAAACCTATGATTTGAAACTTGAAAGACTAATTTTAAAATGAAAACAAACTTGGAGGACCAATGTTTATATTAATCTTTAAATATAAATAAGGGTTTCCCACACCAACGAAACGCTTCTTCTCTTGAGTCTTTTTTATGTGTGAGGTTATTAGTTTGATTACCTTATTAGTATGATGAGCCTACAAATTTCTTTCATGATGACAATAAATGAATAAAAAAATGGATTATTCATATCATCAATGTATAATATTATATTACCTGGCTAACCAAGATTTCAATTCTTAATAGGAAAGGTGTCTATATTTAATATCTGATCATATGATTGTTTTTAATAAAAGGATATCTGTGAGCAATTAAAAAAAACACCATATTAACGTTCATATATAATAAAATATATGCAAGTTGTAGTGATTACAAAATATAAATAATGTTACTTCTTTCAAACTTTATGTCCCCATGAAAAAGATTGTTAGATATAATAATTAATAAATGTATCTATCCTGATGGCCAAGTGGCTAACGTTTAGTACGCAGGAGGAAACCTAATTTCAGCAAGAAGCCAGCTAATATCAACTAATGATATATATATATATATATATATATATTGGTTCATGAATTATTTAATATTTCCACAGTAATGGAAGCATATATGTTGAGCCACTCAACTGGTAAATGTAAACCTAAGTATAGTTACCATATGATGTATCACGAAGGGGGGAAAAGTGTTTGCCACAAATATAAGCATGAAACAGTTTCTGAAGTTATATTTCCCCCCAAAAAAAAGGCTCTATTTTGCATGTTCATTTTCAGTGATGTTATGTTGAGAATTATTGAAGGCGACATAATCATATATGATTTTCTTTTATCTTTTTATTGTCATTTATAATTATAATAAGTATTTTTACTTAGCTTATAAAAATATTTTATTCGCAAAGTTATATTTTATTTTATGAAAGGAATATTCATTTTAATTACTCTAAATGGTCCATCATTCTCTGTCTTCTACAATTATATAATATAGTAATATTCATAATTTATATTGTGTGTATGTATTATAATAATTGACTGATGCTCTTCTCATCCTATTCACGGGACACTTTTAGCACGTTTTACACAAAAAAAAAAAAAAAACTGTACTAATTCTCTATTAAAATATAACAACTGATTAATTTTATATCTGTTTAGCATATACACTTTAAAAAAATAACTCTTTACACTCTAATAAATGAAGAACAAAATAATACATTTATAATAAAAATTTAACGAAGTGATTTATAAATAAAATTAAAAAGTTTCTTCTCTTTCTGTCCTATAAATAGAATGAGAGAAGTATATCAATACATTCTCCTTCAATAAAATTTACTGCAAGAGATACATCTTTGTTATTATTTAAAGGATCACGTACTAGCTTGTTAAGATAATAAATAAGTAGAATTAAACCCTCAAACCAGATTTATAAAAAGGTTTTCATGTGATTAGGATGTTAATAATTTGAGTGTCCCGCACAATATATGGTATTCATTTTTC